TTATAGTTTTTAATTAAGTGTCAAAAATACAATATTTTTTATATTTAGTTATTTATGTTGCACATTTTCCCAATTTCAGAATTGCAAATGCATTTTACAGCGTATTAACACACGCTTTAATCCGATATTCCACGACACTGGGCTTAACTCTCTATCCCCTCCTACAGAAGTGCTAAATTCTCCAGTTGTTCGTTAATTCGGGACGCTGCAGAGCACTATATTCGCCCAAACAGAACAGACTCATAATGATGGCTGTGCTTTATTCCCCCATTCGAACCGAGTTCCCATCGCTAATATATTCATATCCTGAGGGCGCCCCATTGTGCCCAAGTGCGGAATGTACGGGCTGTCGGATTAATAATGAATGTCCTGATCCAGTTCCCCGGGAACGATATGTTTGGAGGGCCGTCCGTCCTCTAATGATTCGCAGGACACTGGCAAGTCGAGTTGCAACTTGAGAGGGCGAGGACAGGCAGTTTATTTATAACGTAGAGGACGCATCGCACTTCGATCGCTTTGAAGTACTTGCAGGATTCTGGGAACGGATAAGATATTGAACGCATAAGGTTAATTTAATATTTAGGAAACTTATAAGAGTCGCGGTAAAGCTGATAGAAGTATTAGAAATGGAATGATGGTTAACTGATGTAACAATACTATTTTTATTGATAAATTCTATAAGGATAGTTATTTTAATTGTTTATAATATTAAAAATTATGATGAATTTCATTATTTTTGAAGATAAAAGATTAACATTGATGAGTTTTAAAATACTACAGAAATAATTTCAGTATTTTTAATTTTGAGAGAGCAATATATGAAAATATAATTATTATTATTTTTTTAATTGTCTCCTTTTAAATCGTATTTGTTAAACATTTTTGAAGGTTTCATATATTACATAAAATATTCGATGAGGATTTTTTTTTAAAAAAAGGAGATTATTTTACTTATTAAAAAATTAAAAGTGATAAATGGATGATCTCGCTGCCTGATGGCCGAGTGACAAGTGCATCGGTACTCCATGCCACAAGTGTCGGGTTCGAGTCCAGACGGGCCATGGATGCCTGTAATGGTTCGGAATCCGCTTTAAACCGTAAGTCCCGGTCTAATATGATTTTTGAGCATTAGGCCTAGGACTGACAGCCTTACCCGGTAAAAAGAAAAAAAATCTCTGTCTCCTAATCTACCAGTTGGCAGACCATCTTGGCCCACTATGTGGCAATTGCGCCATTGATGTTGATGATGATAATATATATTGAATCCCGTCATAAAAGCAGAAAAATAATTTTGTAATGTTAATTATAAATGTAGAATTAAATATTTCATAGTTTTTAATTAAGTGTCAAAAATACAATATTTTTTATATTTAGTTATTTATGCATTCCCTCAATTTCAAGATTGCAAATGCATGTTACGACCAACGTATTAACACACGCTTTAATCCGATATTCCACGACGCTGGGCTTAACTCTCTGTCCAATCCTACAGAAGTGCTAAATTCTCCAGTTGTTCGTTAATTCCGGACTCTGCACAACACTATATTCGCACAAACAGAACAGACTCATAATGACGGCTGTGCTTTATTCACCTATTCTAACCGAGTTCCTATGGCTAATATATTCATATCCTGAGGGCGCCCCATTGTGCCCAAATGCGGAAATGTACGGGTTGCCGGATTAATAATGAATGTCCTGATCCAGTTCACCGGGAACGATATGTTTGGAGGGCCGTCCGTCCTCTAATGATTCGCAGGACACTGGCAAGTCGAGTTGCAACTGGAGTGGGCGAGGACAAGCAGTTTATTCATAATGTAAGCGATGCATCGCACTTCGATCGCTCTGAAGAACTTGCAGGATTCTGGGAACGCATAAGGGAACGGATAAGATAGGGAACGGATAAGATAGGGAACGCATAAGGGAACTGATAAGATATTGAACGCTTAAGGTTAATTTAATATTTAGGAAGTGTATAAGATAGAGTCGCGGTAAAGATGATAGAAGTATTGGATATGACAGGCATAGTTGTTAATGGAGGTAACAATACTAATTTTTAGTGATAACTAATTGATAAATATTGATAAATAATATATTATATAACTGATACTAATTTTTATTAGAACTATAAGGATAAAGTTTCTTTAATTGCTCATTATATTTAAAATTTTTATGGATTTTATTATTTTTTAAGTTAAAACTCAAAATTGTTGAGTTTTAAAATACTACCCAAACAATTTCTGTTTATTTAATTATGAGAATGATATTAGTAATTAATCAAATTAGATATAATTTTTAAAAAAATTTCTTTGATCGTGTTGTGATTAATGTTCAGTGTCCAGGATGATGGATGGACACCTGATGAGTAGTTTTACTCAGCAATGGAGGGTAATGGGGCAGGTTCTGTTATGGTGGAGCATCCGTAGGTATAAGTTTTATTTGGCTTCGAGTTTCTGAAGGAGGTCAGTGCCTTCCAGGGTGAACTACCTCGCATTTACTTATCATAGGAGAGAAAACCCGAAAAACTTCAGCTAAGTAGTCTGACTAACGAGGCAAGATGCTGAACCTCACAAATGCCATTGTATCTCCTCGTTTTTGTGGCAATAAAAGTCAGCAGTTTGAATATCAGCCGTAATGCTAACCAGCGGCGTAAGTTGCCACGAGTTGAGCGTCTATTATCGTAATATATTACAAAAACATTTTTGAAGATTTCATATGTTTCATGAGATATTCAACAAGCACCAAAAAAAAAAAAAAAAAAAAAAAGATAACACTTTCTTATTAAAAGATAGCAAAATAGTTTATTATTTTAAAGGTGATGAATTTTACACCAATGCCAAATAAAGGATATAAGAAAACTTTCTATTTTTAAAAAAAAAATTGTGTTTGAAAAATACAATCAGTTATAAATAAAATCCAGTGTACCATGAATTAGTGCAGTAAAGTCAATTTATTTTATTTCACTTGTACTTAATTAAAAATAAATTATTTAAATTAAATTATTATTAATTTGAAAATCAATTCTTTAAATTTAATAATTGAATGCAGTGAGTGTCAAAAGTCCCTATTTATACTTTTAAATGTGCCTGAAATACAAAACACTGACATACAATATTTAAACAAAACTAACTATACATAGAAACTTTTATTTGTATTTTATATTTTGTTTTAAATAAAACAAATCAATGACTCACATTATTATAAAAAGCATTAGTTGTTTATCTATAACTATTTATAATGTAAATATCATCATCATCATCATCATTAGCGCAAGAGCCCCATGGTGGGTCAAGGCCGTCTAGCAGATTTCGAGACATGTTTTCCTAAATATATATAAATATATATATATATATTATAGTAATTTATATAGTGATTTATTTATTTTAAATAATCGAGAAACATAATAAAAAACAGATAATTTGAAGAATTTATCTTTAATCTTTATATCATCATTATATCCATAATTTAAATATTTCAATGAAAATTTTGCAAATCTTGCAAATAAGTTGCAAGCATTTTGAAATAGTTATATTGGAATAATTTTTTTTTTTTTTTTTTTTTTTTTTTTATACATTTAAAAGCGTTGGCATAAATTGATACTCATTTAGGCATTTAAAGAGAACAAAATATCAATATTTACTTAACGATATCTAAGTTATTTCATGTAAATTAAATTAAAATAATGATATTAATTAAATCGAAATATACAAAAAAAAAAAAAAAAAAAAAAAAAAAAAATCTTAAAAAAAAAAAAAAAAAAAAAAACTACTGATATTTTTTTATGATTTAGAGCTTATTTGCGATTTATAATAATTAATAAATTAATAAAAAATTTTCGATTATTCCTTTAATAGCTGAACGACAAACAAAACGTTAACGAATTTTAACCAGAGGCATTCAATTACATCCACCTTTGAAACCATTATTTAAAATCAATGTATATCTTCAATGTATAAATCTCGAACATTTTATAACTTCATTTGAATGGGTTGAAAATAAAAGCTCTAAAAATATTTAAAACAGTTTCCAAAAATTGTTATAACAAATTTTGCAGCTATGTGTTCCATTTAGAATTTACAAATCTGCTTTTTTTTTTTTACACAGCAACCAGAAAATAAATTTCTTTAAATTAAAATTCTGAATGCAATAATAATAAAATTAAATTAAGATGAATGTTTTATTAATTGTTTAATAAATATATTTTGGTGCAACTCAAATTTGAAGAGAAAACAATAATATAAGAGATAATCACAGTTTAGTTAAGTAAAACACTTTTTAATTTTCAGCAAAGCTTACAAGAATTTCACACGTGCTGCCATCTGTCGATGTTTTAAAACTCCAAAAAAATCTTGAAAACTGACTAGCACGATATTTATTATTTATCCCCAATGATGATGTATGATGATGTATGATGATCATACGATGTATGACTATCACATGATAATGATTATATGATCGTCAAAATAATTATGTGAATAGGTTAAAGTCTATCATTTTTATTTTCTAATTATTGCAATCGTTAAAATAAAGAGAAAACTATCCAATTAAAGGACATTCGAAATTTAAAATTTAAAATCCTGCATATTTTTTTACATGAATCGTTTTTCTCATTTTGCAACATTTTTTTCATTAATATTTATTTTTTCAGGAAAAACAAATCTAAATCATTTTTAAAAGGGTTTTTTTTTTTTTTTTTTTTTTTTTTTTTTTGCTTAGTCTCTTTAAAGTATATTTTTAAGCTGTTTAGAAAAATTATTATATTTAATTAACTTTTATTCTTTTCTATTTTAAAAACAGAAGCATTTTTTATTTGTATTTTGGACTTCCAATTTGATCAAGTCACCAAATTTACAATTTTTCAAAATGTGCCACATTGTTAGAAACATTTCAAAAGAATAAAGCAACCTCGTCTATTGTGAGTGAATGGAATTTTTTGAAGAATTTAGATCATTATAAAATTAAATTTTGAGTTATATTATCATGTATGAACATTATGTTAAGCCAACGGCCGTACCATGCTGAATATACCGGTTCTCGTTAGATCACCGAAGTCAAGCATCATTGGGCGCGGTCAGTACTTGGGTGGGTGATCAAAAACACCGCGTGCCGTTGGCATTCACAAATTTGGGACCTGAATGGCCGAGTGTCTGGCGCTCGGTGCCACAGGTTTCGGGTTCGAATCCCGGCGGTGCCATGGATGTTTGTAATTTTTAACAGTAAGAGTGTCACGGAGCAAAAGTCAGACTTCTACCTACGGGTGCTCCATCACAACAGAAGCTGCTTCCTTCCCCTTCAATCATGAGTACTTATGGGCCCTCATGGGCTTGGCCAGCCAAGTAGGATAAGAAACAACAACAACAACACATTATGTTAACCTAGCTTGAGATTCGAGGAGTATCACGAACTGTGAAGCTATAAAATAAAAATAAGTAAGTGTATAAGTTATTATTTAAAGCAGATTAATCTCCTCGTGCAACACGAGAAACTTTCATTTCAAAAATTTTATTTAAAATAGTCTCTGATTTTCATGAGATTTTATTTGTGTAAAGTTGTCATGAAATATGTGTTGCTATCAATTGATCGATTGATCAAGATCAAGTCATGTGCTCTGCAGTTCATTTTGAACTGTCTGGCTTTCAAATTATAAACAGATTATTGTTTCAATATACTCAAAATAGTGTCTACGGATCAGTTGTTTATAAAAGTTAATTTAACCATCACTTAACAGACTTCTCTGTTTGGATGCGATAGGGTTTCTTGTATTTGAATAATTGCTTTTTCATAAAGTTCTAGAATTATTAAATTTTGTAAAATCGCTATCGCTATTGAATTGTATAGTGCTTGTGTGAATTGTATATTCTGCATTTTAGGGTTTCCGTTTCTTTTCCGCTCCATATGGAATCTCCAAAACTGCAGTGTTTTGTAACTGGAGCGCCCATTTCGTTGACTTGGCGAAAACAACAAGGGCAAAAAGTCACAAAATTAACAAGCAGAATCCTAATTTAATGTATAACTCCCATTCTTATTCTGAAAAATTGATCATAAATTTCTTGAGTTATTGAACATTGGTATACTCTCATGCGTATTTGTCCAGCAAAGTACGTTCACACTTGATTAGTGGAAATTTGGGAAAATGATATTAGTTTTTAAGTATTTTATTTAATTTTAAAGTTATTGAACGCAAAAATATTATGAATTAAATGATGCATGATGATTTTAGTATTTTATTTAATTTCAAAGTTATTGAACGCAAAAATATTATGAATTAAATGATGCATGATGATTTTAGTATTTTATTGATTTTTAAAGTTATTGAACGCAAAAATATTATGAATTAAATGATGCATGATGATTTTAGTATTTTATTTAATTTCAAAGTTATTGAACGCAAAAATATTATGAATTAAATGATGCATGATGATTTTAGTATTTTATTTAATTTTAAAGTTATTGAACGCAAAAATATTATGAATTAAATGATGCATGATGATTTTAGTATTTTATTTAATTTTTAAAGTTATTGAACGCAAAAATATTATGAATTAAATGATGCATGATGATTTTAGTATTTTATTGATTTTTAAAGTTATTGAACGCAAAAATATTATGAATTAAATGATGCATGATGATTTTAGTATTTTATTTAATTTTAAAGTTATTGAACGCAAAAAATATTATGAATTAAATGATGCATGATGATTTTAGTATTTTATTTAATTTTAAAGTTATTGAACGCAAAAATATTATGAATTAAATGATGCATGATGATTTTAGTATTTTATTTAATTTTAAAGTTATTGAACGCAAAAATATTATGAATTAAATGATGCATGATGATTTTTAGTATTTTTATTTAATTTTAAAGTTATTGAACGCAAAAATATTATGAATTAAATGATGCATGATGATTTTAGTATTTTATTTAATTTTAAAGTTATTGAACGCAAAAAAATATTATGAATTAAATGATGCATGATGATTTTTAGTATTTTATTTAATTTTAAAGTTATTGAACGCAAAAATATTATGAATTAAATGATGCAAGATAATTTTAGTATTTTATTTAATTTTAAAGTTATTGAACGCAAAAATATTATGAATTAAATGATGCATGATGATTTTAGTATTTTTTTAATTTTAAAGTTATTGAACGCAAAAATATTATGAATTAAATGATGCATGATGATTTTAGTATTTTATTTAATTTTAAAGTTATTGAACGCAAAAAATATTATGAATTAAATGATGCATGATGATTTTAGTATTTTATTTAATTTTAAAGTTATTGAACGCAAAAATATTATGAATTAAATGATGCATGATGATTTTAGTATTTTATTTAATTTTAAAGTTATTGAACGCAAAATATTATGAATTAAATGATGCATGATGATTTTAGTATTTTTATTTAATTTTAAAGTTATTGAACGCAAAAATATTATGAATTAAATGATGCATGATGATTTTAGTATTTTATTTAATTTTAAAGTTATTGAACGCAAAAATATTATGAATTAAATGATGCATGATGATTTTTAGTATTTTATTTAATTTTAAAGTTATTGAACGCAAAAATATTATGAATTAAATGATGCATGATGATTTTTAGTATTTTATTTAATTTTAAAGTTATTGAACGCAAAAATATTATGAATTAAATGATGCATGATGATTTTAGTATTTTATTTAATTTCAAAGTTATTGAACGCAAAAATATTATGAATTAAATGATGCATGATAATGCGACAATGCTAGAAATGTAAACGCGGTTCCAATTACTTGATCTTATAGTAAAATCTGTAGCTGCATCTATAACTTAGTCACCATTTTTTTTTGCTAGCATCACTGTTTTCTATAAGACAGTGATGTTAGTAAAAAATAGATACGATAAGCTATTCTCCAGGCTAGAGCGATGAAGAAAGCTAGATAGCTCGAACTTGAAAGATACATTATATAAGAAATAGATCTGATAAAAGCAACTTATTGTTAAACCTTCTTGCTTACCCACCTGTATGTTTGTTTGTTTGTTTGTAACTGACTCTTTGGGCTCGATTTTGCCCTACTTTAAGCGATCAGATCCGTGGAACAGTGGCACAACGGACTATTCGCATTTAGCCTTTGTTTTATTCACAATTAAATTATTGTAAGAACTATAGTTCCACTCCTCCGTACCGGGACCTCATTTAAATATTATAGTTTAAAAACACTAAAAAACATGCTTTTAGAGTTAATCAAACTAAAAAGTAAAAAATAAATTAATAGTTTACAAAAACTAAAAAAAAACACGCTTTTAGAGTTAATTTATCTAAAAAGTAAAAAATAATTGTTAACATAAGAATAAAATGACTGTCACTGTTCCAAAAGCGTGGGGTGCTCGATATCCAATCGTTATAATTTTTCACTAGTTCATTCCGAAATGCAGAGTTAGTGTAAAAATATCATACAAAGCACCCCACGCTTTTGGAACAGTGACAGTCATTTTATTCTTATGTTAACAATTATTTTTTACTTTTTAGATAAATTAACTCTAAAAGCGTGGTTTTTTTTAGTTTTTGTAAATTATTAATTTATTTATAGTTACAGCATTATTTTAGATACAGGATCATATTTAATTAAATTATAAAACTTGTAAAATTTATGATTAATGTCATGCAATTCTTCTACCGTTTTATCCTTTTCGTTGCTACAGTCTTGACATTTTAAGCTTTAACTGTACTTGATACTTATTTTGATTGGAATTCATCGAAATAAGATGCTTCTTTGGCGCGATTTTCATGCTAGGAAATCATCATTTTTCTGGTTGGCGAAATTAATAGGTCAACATACCATATTACATAATTAAATATTCACGAAAAAAAAAACATTTCCTTTCTAATTAAACATTTAACCTGTATTCTACTTCTAAAGCCATTAAAATTACTAATAAAGATTTAAAAATAAAGCTGTTGTGAGATTTTCTAGATAGCATAAGCAAAAACAAATTTATTTAAAATCCTGTACAATGGATTTATTATCTGACATTGTCATAAGTCTAACTTCCAAAATAAAATAACTTAATGAAATATTTTACTCACATATTATAGAACAGCATCAACAATTTTCAAAAAATGTCGGAGACTTACCTATAAAAAAAAAAAAAATTAAAACATCAAAATAATTGTATTCGAGATTAAAAAAAACAATAATAATCTGGAACATAAAAATATAATAGCAACAAATGACATTATATATCATGTTTGTTTATTAATTAAACTTTTATACTTAATTTTAATTAATTTATTATTCATTAGAAGATTAAAATACAAGATTAAAATAAAGAAATAAAATCGCGAATCTTAAAAATATACGTTTTTTTAAATAAGAGTCGAATATCAATTTACGCTTTACACAAAATTACAAAATTTAAATATAAATTTGACAAATTAATTATTATTAAATATTAATTTTAAGAAACAAATTAAATTGTCAACACAAATTAAAAAGCACAAAAATTTAGATTGAAATATAGCTTATACTCTCAACTATGGAACTACTCTCAACTACGGCCAACGGCCAACGGCCGTACCATGCTGAATATATCGGTTCTCGTTAGATCACCGAAGTCAAGCATCATTGGGCGCGGTCAGTACTTGGGTGGGTGACCACCTGGGAATACTGCGTGCCGTTGGCAAATTTGGGACCTGAATGGCCGAGTGTCTAGCGCTCTGGCGCTTGGTGCCACAGGTTTCGGGTTCGAATCCCGGCGGTGCCATGGATGTTTGTAGTGGTTCGGAATCCACTTTAAGCCGTAGGTCCCGGTCTTTTATGACTGTAAGAGCGTCACGGAGCAAAAGTCAGGCTTCTACCTACGGGTGCTCCATCACAACAGAAGCTGCTTCCTTCCCCTTCAATCATGAGTCCAGTGGGCTTGGCCAGCCAAGTGGGATAAGAAACAACAACAACAACACTATGGAATAGAAAATTCCTTATTAAATACTGTAATTTTCTTCCTACAATCTCTGTTTATACACTAAAAAAAGCACTTCAAATTACAGAGATTGATCCTCTTTATTTGAAGTGGACAAACAGAAAGAAAAAAGAAAGCAATTGCTGATATGATGACGCCATCA